CTGACGTGGTTTTGCTGTCGAATCTCGTGTTTCAGGTCATGCGCATATTGTGTAATCCAAGGGCAAGACTCTGGGCTAGGCACAACGGTGATCTTTGGCATCTCGCTTTTTCCTGACTCATCACTACTCACTCATGTTTGCCCAAGATAGCTAAGCATGATCTTTGTCCTGCATAGCAAATCCCTGCGGCATAGATAGGGCTGATGTTCAGCCAGAATTCTTACAGTCGACAAGCAGTCTGATAGTCGGTGCACCATGCCTGTCAGCAGGGCCCTCGATATGATCCAAGGAAAGACGGGAAGCCATTGCTCAAACTGCTGGTGTAATTCGAGTTCAATGTAGCGGCTACCTTAGAGGCTGTAACTATCCTTCAATGTTCAGTACGGGCCGCGCCAATAACGTATGTATCTGTTTAGCAAGCCTCAAGTCTCGAGACGGCCTTATGATGCAGTGTTCAGTTACAATGCGACGACATCTCGGTCGCAGATTTACTTACTCAGTACGTGCATGAAGCAGCTGGTACAACGAACGCTAGGATGGAATATGCGTCTCCGACAACAGTCCAGATGAGAAGTCGAGTCAACCACTTATTACTTCCGACCGCTTCAGCATCCAATTTGTGGTTCACTTAATATTCGCGGTTCTAGACAAGATCTGTAAGGCCTAGAGAATTATCTTTGGACGGTATCTCTAGGCTTATGTAAGTGAGTGGAATCTTTTGTGCTAGTGTCGACAGAGGATCTGCCTTTGATCTCGGCACCATGACTCATGCAGATCAGATAATCCAGACCACAGAGTAACACAACAATTCACTCAATACCAAAGGCATTGTGAAGAACACATGGTGCTATCTTTTGATCAAGCTAAATATGGAAACGTGGTCGCTGCGATAGCCTATGGTTGGTTCAAGATTAGCGATTGCTGAACCATGCTTTGCTTCGCACAAAAGTTTCCTGGCTTTTGGTGTTCGCGATAGACTACCATGTCATCTGTACTAATAATAGATTAGTACATTCTGGTCAATCAGGCGTGTGGCCAAGGACCCACATCGAAACATGAATGCACCGCATTACGACAATCATCACGTTGACAAGAGAGTTACTGATCGCGTTCAGGTGAAGCTTGAGCATCATGACATTCAGGTTGATAGCAAGATCGCATCTAGTAATTTTTTGCCAGGGTATAATTCGTCGGACAAATCAGCTCTTCGTGTCTTGGAAGTGATTGTTTTCTTGTTCCTTCTTGTCCGTTTCCAGCGAAGACTTCTCATAAAGTACTCGAAACTCCTACGGATACCTCTATTGCGAAGCGCTCAACTCACTGACAATATGTCAGCAGAAAGTCAGTCTCCAGCAACTCCTATCGATCCAGAGTCAGACGACGAGATACTCACTGCGAGATGTGTGAGAATATTTCGAGTGAAGTTAGACAAAGCAAATGTTCCTTGTGAACAAGATCCGGACATCCTACGCCTTTCTCGAGAAGTGAAACATGAGCTAGATTCTAGCACTTCTATGGCAGATCCAGCGACGCATAGAAACCTCCAGAATCTCCTTTCCGAGATATGTAGCTTTCTGGGGCCTTCTGGTCAGGACACCTACAAACGCACTAGTCTGAAGCACAAACCGGGATGTCCAAATCTCAAGATTCTTACTGATTTCCAAGCTTGACCGCCTTTAGTTCCTCCGTCTGGTCAGCTTGAAGAAACAGAGTTATACACGCGAGCTATAGTTTCCTTGAAACATGTTAATGCGCAAGAGGTCATGCATCTCTTATATGCATCACAGAATGGTCCGTCTTGTCTTATCGCTGGCCGTGTATCGAACCTCATAGATTTTCTCGATGAGAAAGATCCGCATAGCAAGCGAGTACACTCATGTGATTAGGATAGGTGGTCTAGATGGGATAGGTGAATTGAATGGCAGTGGGTTCCAGAGCGTCATGCATAGAGGCCAGGTCAGGCAACTTGGATTTCAAATTCTGATAGCACGTCATTGCCAGATGTCCATCACGACAGATGATTCCCGAGAATCAAAGCATAGAGAATCTTGATGGATAGCTTCATCGAATTGGGAGACATGTAGTAGTACACAGCCATCATTATAAAGACCATACTGAGTCTCTGGTGTAGGAGACCGTGAGGCTGGATTGAGAGGTTCATTATAGCTTGAAAAGTATTGACCAAGTATGCAGTGTATATAGACCACGGTCATCAGCACGAATCCATCAGTATCTCTCGAAACCCGCCAGATATCATCATAACTACGTGATGCGTTCCATATCCGTCGGTCTGTCTTCCATGTCATGAGACATTGACCTTCTCGGATCTGACAAATCTTGACGATCTGCGAGATACGAACCCTAGCTGTTGTCCCAGCTCGGAAGCCCTGCCCTACGCTGTCTGTGAATCCAGGAACTGTGATCTCAAGATTGATCTCGATATCATTAGGATAACAGACGATCGTATCTCGCAGAACCTCAATTGAATACATATAGTTGTTCTGAGAGCATCATGCCTCCTAAACCTAGAATGGTTCCGAAGCTTTTCTTGGAATCGAGTCGTCTCGTACTCCACCTGACAGTGAGAGTGTTCGCACTGAGATCTTTCTCGTGCCTGCTATCCATATCAGCTGTGATCATACGACCAAGGGAGATCTGAACCCACGATCGCCATCGTTTTCGGTCTGGTTGGCCTTCAATCTTGTCTGCGCCGTGACATGAAGCACAGTAGATGGAGCAACAGCCGGAGAAGCTTTCAGGAACGCTTTTACAAACACCACCGGTATGACTCAGGGAGCTCGTCCGTTCCCTTTTTCGTCTCTGCGGTAAAGGCAGACTCATTCCACATCTCAATTTGATCGACTCAGCTTACTTTAGAGCTGGTGAAGTTCTCCCATCCTAAGTAGCTCGCAACGATCACCTCACAAGCTTACCAAGTCACAGGAATTTATGTCATCATCACCAACCTACTTGCATCCCGAACGTACTGTTGTTGCCAGTGACTGAATGAACGAAGGATACGAAACTGGCAACATGGGGTTTCTTTTTATAGCTTCGAACACCTACCAGTGGCCTGGTCACATGTGATCTGTCGATCACCCGAGGTACTGGTTCTGAAACTCGAGACACCTCTGCATAGATTACGTTCTCGCAACAACGAAGCGGTCTTTTGGGCCGTGCGAGGGAACTTACATCAAGCCAACGTATCTTGCACACGAGCATCAGCGGCCGCATAGGCATACTTCCATCGGTAAATCCTTCGTCAAGGTAGACGTACCAAGTGCAGGGATGGCCTTGAAGACGACTTGGAAGATATGTCCACCCCTGATGTGGATCAGAGTGATACATTCACTCACAATATTGCCTCTTGGACCAAATTATCTTGTGAGAGGAGCGTTTGCCGCACGGATTTCACGAGGCCCCAAAATTGAAGACAGAATCTTGCATATACTGTGTAGACGACGATGAGAGACGTAAGTATGGTAGGGGCCGACAGCAACATGAGCATCTTTCTACCGAGGTAACGCTGAGAATCTCATAGATAGCAAATGAGGCTGATGGTTGATCTGACAGCCGGCAAGCTCCTGGGCAATGTCAATGGAAAAATAATACAGGAAGCAAGTGGTGAGCTTATGTCGCTGCACCGTGAAAGTTGTAGGAAATTCTACGGGCAAGTTTTTGTCGCTTTCGGAAGCTTGATCTGCTCGGTGCAGCAGCGGATACATCGATGACCAAATCGTGTCTAGAAAGAGTCGAATAGATGCAATTCTTCGCCCTCGAGCATCATCATCCCAACCTAGTGTTTGCCACCCTGTATAGTCTTTGAAATACGTCTATCTTCGATGGAATGAGACTGTTGTTGGGTGAATCCTAATGTGCGTATGACTCCAAGAAGGACAAGAAATCTCTTCTCTAAGTTGACCAACCGCTCGTGCAGATGCTCATATCGATTCTGGAGAAGTCTCACTTCTTGCACACTGTCAAAATGCTCCCGTCGCTCTTATCCCCTCTTTGGCTCTTCTGCAAATGCTCTTTCCCCTTTTCTTCGATTGAGTAAACGTTTAGGATCTTGTAGAAGGAGAACCTGCTTTGAACCTTGCGATAGGTCGAGCATAGGTTGTTATATTGGGACTCTCCACTAGGTTGTGCAGAAATAGCTAAAGAGCTCTGGACAAGATATAGAAGCAATGTTCGAGCTGTGAAGAATCTCGAACAATGGATCAGAGATGTATCCACTTTGGAACCCCAACTCTCGAGTGAAAAAAACAAGTGATTCCGAGATTCATTCCGACCACCAGCTTATGGTGTATTGTATCGGTCCTTGGGTTGGCTACGAATATAGAATACCGGTTGCGCACGGTACTCGACCCTTCAGGGTATTGAGTGGCATGCAGAGTTCAGCGAGTATCGTTCTGCCAACGTCATCATTCCCCACCATGCGTTCTCAACAAACGAGACCCGGATATGCCCCACCTAGGTACAATTTTACTGCCGAAGTATGGGGCTTGAATGCAGACGCCAGTGCCACATCCTGCTCGTCTTCAGCTCCATATCTGAGATTTGTATCCTGCTGAGCTCGTGCACTTCACCGGACACGACGACGCTTTCCAGTAGTATCCATTGGTAAATGCTTAGTTGGTGTTCCTCCTTGGTTCTTGATCGTAAGATTGCAATGAAGACAAACGAGATCAGTATCATCGTCTCTCGTGGTCTGTATGTGTGCATTCGCGTGATCACGTAGAAACTCTGTGAGAAGGTTAAATCGAACCTCCAGATCTAATCACTGAACAGAAAAGCTGTGGTAAGTAGACAAGGCAAGAACATTCACCACTCCATAAGAATGCCCGCCCTCATTTGGATCTCAATACGCATATTAGGTTACTCGCGCCTAACCTCGATCGCCTTACAGCTCTTCCTTTCGATTCGCAGGAAGAAGAGGGTGGGATGACCTCTTGAAATTCCGGCCCGACCAAAGTACCCATCTCTGGTGAGAGCGCAACATGGAAAGGTTGTCCGCAAAACTTCAGGAAAGACTTAGAGAGGAGGGCGCACACGCGGTTATACGATATCTGGAAAGGATCCTACAATCCCACGGCAAAGCACAATCTCAATTGATCAAGTATCATATCAAGGTTTTCATTGAATCTGAGCAACACAAGTTGGAAGACTGTGCTTTCGAGATCGAGGAACTCCTGGAACGTCATCAGATCTCTATCGATGATACAGGTAGCATCTTCAAGGAAACATCTGCTGCGGGTCGCAGAAGAAGGGACTTGAAGAGTATTGAGGAACATTGGGATCGGGAACTCATTGATCATTACCAATGGGACAAGGAGAGTGGTCGCTTTCTTATGGCTCTCGCAAAGATTGCTTCTCAGCTCACCGTATGGAGGACGGACGCCGCCCCTCTGTTTAGTCGTCTGATTTTCAACGATTTGACCCTTGGAAATTGGGGCAAGATTGGTAACTGTCCCGAGAGACCTATCAAGACGAGACATGTGAACAAGCTGCGGGAACATGTGGATCCAAATTATGTCAAGGATAACAAGAAGGCGGTATCGAACTCCCCAGCGCCTCCTTTGATCCCACTCCACGAGGAGGAGGTACGTCGTAACAACCTGAAGCTCGATACCTATAATCTTCTCATTGCAAACAGCGGACTGGAGTCAAATGAGCCAACAGAAAATGTATCGAGTATAAGTTGTGCCGAGATTTTAGTTCTATCGAATCATGGCAGCACGGTCAGTCCGACCGAAACAGCGTGGCAGATCAATGATGGAGAGCGCCCAGCGGCAGACTTAACTACCGACACAGACGATTGTCCCAGAGGTTCATCCGGCGTTCCTACAACAACACCGCCAGCCATGATGACTGTTGACATGGACAGCGTCGCTGCATTTGACACTAGTTCATCCATTACGGATAGCGAGGGTGGTGTCAAGTTTACGCCATTCGGAGAACAGCGAACCGGCTTTGAACCTGAGTCTCGAGAAAATGACAAGTCTGCTTCACGATACAGGGACTCCTGGGATTTGAGAAAGGGCGAGAAAGGTATGCTAGATGCGGTTGTTGCAGAGGTAATAAGATTGAGGAAAGAACTGTTTGCAATCACTGAAGAGGTAACCATAATTGAGAATGGAAACTGATCGAGTACCTTAGAACAAACAAGCTGAATCTCCATAGGACCGGAATCGTCAAGAAAGTCTGTTGGCCAAGATCGCCGAAGCCTCGCGTATACCAAATCCTAGGGATGGCCTAATGACAGAGGAGATGTGCTCTTCACTCTTCGCAGAGCATAGTGCGCGGATGATCGAGACCGTAAAAGAGATACTGACTGCAAGGTCTTGTAAGTGCGAGGATACGCTTACAATGCAGAAGCAAGAGGATATTCTCTCCGGTTTCTACAATCACCTATCGGGCCAGCAAGTGGAAGTTGGCAGAAAACTTGAGATGGCGATCTCCAGAATACGGCAAGAGTTATCTGATGCATCGTTGTCGGATCGGAAGGAGATAGTCGAAGCAATCGAATCGCGAACACAAAGAGATTTGCAGATATCGTACGACGCGACGATCAAACGTCTTGGAGGAGTCGAAAAACAGTTGAGAGATCGTTTCGCCCGTGCCGGTCTCGGAATAGTTGATGAACTCAAGAGTGTCCAAGAAATGGGTATGGAAGTCACAAACAAGCTTTCGAGGAAATGGAGGGAGAATTCAGCCCAGATGGCTCAGAGTCAGATGCAGAATGTTGACAAAGTTTGTGGCTCAAAGTTGTACCTACTAAGTGGCGTGTGCTGACAGATATTTACAGCTCAGATCCGATATCCTCGGGAAATTTTCACACATGCAAAAGCATGCGATGAGGCTGGAGCAGGAAGTGCGAGATCTTCGAAGAGCTTTCGAGTCACGGAAGGATGGTAGTCCCGAAACACAATCCAAAGATATCTTGCTCAACATGCGGGATGAAGCTGAGAGTCAGATGCAGGCGGATATCAAAGAAGGAATCTCACAAGTCTGTAGCTTAGACATTGTTTGCGATGCGACATTTACTGACTGGGTTCAAACAGATGCAGCAAACCCTGACTAAACACAGGCAGATACAGCAAACGCTGATCGAACACATGCAGATGCAACTTGGGATGAATGAGAAGACTCAGGCGTTCCAAGATCAACAAGTGATCAATCTAACAGGAGTCAAGTCCCAGCTCGATGCCATGGTCTCGAAGCCACCAATTTCAGAGGAAGCAGTGACGAGCCTGAAGCAAGCAGCGCAGTATCTCCACGAAATCGGCGAGAAACTTGGAAAACTGCAGGATGATCCAGAAATCACGGAGATTCCGCTGGATGTACAGGATAGTCGAGCCGACTTTGTAGAGAGCGATGGGCCATGTGGCACCCTAGAGAGATTTTGGCGTGCTGTCGATGTACCGGAAGCCTTGGATGGAACTGGATATGTCACTTCCACACCAGCTCACGAAACCCAAGTCCGAAACTTTGGGGAAAGTCGCAGGGACGACCTGACGTTAGACAAGTCCAATTGTTCCGGCTTCTCCATACCATCAGCGTCCTGGCCGGAGCGTGAATCCGAATCGTCGCAAACTCAGGGTGGACATGGCGTCGACGAGCTTAGACAAGGTGAAAATGAACGAAAATTGGTGCGTCAGTCGGTACCTCTGGACGACGCCACAACCAACAGGGCCTTTCCACACGCTCCCAGTCCCGAGGAAACGCGTTTTATCATAGACTTTAGACCATCGCTCGAGGTGACACGAACCAGTAGGATCAGACCACAGAGCAGGCATAGATCCAACCATCCGACGATTACACAAATACAAGGAGCAAGATTTGCAAAGAGAAGACTCCCAGGAACATCTGTATCAAACAGATATCTGCATAGTGCTTGGAGAACTGCGGATATGGAAGGAATGTGGATACCTGAGATAGTCAACTTGTGTGGTGGGAAAGATGAAAAGCACGCCATTGGTCCTGCACATGTGCAGGAAGCGGGCTGGAACCTGGAAATCTGCGAGAGTATTTCACCGGACGGGAACAGTTCCATTCCCATCAACATGCGGGGAACAGAGCCTGTAGTGGTTCACTCGGCTACGTCCCTCGATCATCACAAGCAGCCCATAAGTTGTGTGCGCGAGCAGTCCTTAGCAACGGCTGCAGATTATGGTTGCGGGGAACCAATCACTTCGGATAGTCTGGGCACAGCTAAACCCAGCGACGGCTATTCGACCAGTGTAAGAGCCACTCCAACGCCCAACCAGGCTCGGATGCAGCGGATCGTAGAGATACAAGAAGAAAATCTTGTTAAAATCCAAGAGAGCGTTGCGGAGGTGTCTCATCATGTGCCTATAGACAATATTCAGACGCGGAGAAGTATGTTGGAAGGAGGTTCACCACTTGAAAGCACCGACACTGCCTCAACAAGCGAACGTTTGCAGGGGCAGCCATCAGTTGCCTCAGGTGAAGTCGACCCTCTACTGAACAGCTCGTCAGATGATACCAGCCAGACAGCACTTATGTCAATTGGAAAGACAATAGTGTCGCTCGAGGATAGAGGGATCAACAGCTCAAACGCTCAACACATGGATCCTATACAACGTCGAGAAAATGAACAGAAAAGCGAAAAGAAACCAGACGAGCCCTATCTAGAGAGCCGCGAGACAGGACTGAAGAAGGCTGCGGAAAGTGAGCTTTCGTTCCACACGGGTAGTATCATGTCTCAAGGCTCGTCACACTTAGAAGACCATCAAAGCACCCAGGAGACTGAGTTGACACGAAGACTGCCAAGGGGTTTTCACAAGAATCACGTTTCGGCGAAGGATCGCAGAAAGCGGAAGGAAGAGAAACTCAAGGGAATAGGAGAAGTACACAGGAACAAAAGGCGTGATCGGTCAAAGCGAAACCGACAGGGTCCACCCAATCTTGGTGCCACTAAAACACCATTATCCGGTACGCACCATGCGCATTTGGAGCTCTCTCGGGACGACTCTGGCGACTGTCGTTCTGGCGATACTACCAACGCCATCGCTCAAGGCTATAGCGGTATGAGTGACACAGAAGCTGTGTCCCAGCATGCGAGTCAAGAACGCAGCAATTTCACGACACATAAAACAGCGGACCCTGTCATTCCACCAGTCCAGTCGCCTTTGCTCCGGCCAGGGTCGGGGAAGGGTGTTCACCTTGGCAATACCGATGGACCAGTCACAAAGACTGAATTCTTAGCCAGTGTTCCTCCCAGACTATCGGTTTCTTCAGTCAACACGATGATAACTGATACGGATCCCACCTCTAATTCGACTACTGATGGACAGGATGGAGTGGCAACGTCGTATCATACCAAACTGAGATACAGCACTCTACAGGACTCTATTGCAGAACCAGAAAGACAGATTGAGTCTTCGGAGAACCATCTCGTCCAGTCAGATACTGCGTCTCCCGCAGCGCACTGTGGTCAGACGGCAACCAGTCTCCCTACTCAGAGACCTGCCTCGCATCCACAAGCTTCAACGCATCGACGGAACATCGCGCAGTCTCCCTCGAAAACGTACCAGGGCTTCCAAATGAGCGCTACTGATGTCCCAACGAGAGAGAGGAGTCCGGAGCAGCCTTCATCACTACCACCAGAGAGAAGATGTGGTGAGAAGAGGCCAAGAGAGGAGGATACTGTGGGGCATCAGGGTATCAAAATGAAAGCCTCAAGACTGACAGTGCCTCTAGAGCGCACTGGGAATGATCATAATCCGGATCTATTTTATGGTGAGGATGAGAGGATCGCGAGTGTGGCCGACATCCAGATGGCAGATTCTCCTACTTCTGATGATCAGCCCTCCGGTCCTCAGGAAGATCATGCATCCGAACCTGACTATGATACAGACAATGCTGCGAACCTCAATGAGAGTGATGTAGAGTCCGTCAAAAGCGTTTGGCGATCTAGAGTACAAGAGCATAAAGCGGCAAGACAGATGAATCGGTACATCATCGACAATGCACGGAAGGAAATACGTTCTGAATTACGCCATCCAGAGACCAGATTCAATGGAAGATACGAGGATAGTTCCACGTTCACTCTAAGTGATCGGGCTTCACAATATCCTAGCAGAGAAGAAATCTCCGCCTCGGCGTTTCTGCCCACTCTTACTGCACAAGAGTTCGCTTCTTTGGAGGTTGCGAAGCAACCAGGTACCATGGAGCAGCTACATGATCAGGAAAACCCCAGACAGCTCTCAATGTCACCACGCACAACAAGTAGGGAAGGGCATAAGGCAGGAAACCACATTGATAGCGACAGTCGTGATCTAGAACCAGTCTCGCGAGGACAGGTCACACCTGAAAAGCTCAACGAAGAGACCGGGACCAGACCCATGCACTCTTCTCACATGAGCAATATCATAAGCCGGGCTTTCATGTATGGTAGATCTGCTCAACCAAGTGGATCCGTTGGTCAAGACAGTATGATCTTGCCGACCGGTGGCGACATCGATGAGGTAGATATCGCAGTACCGCTCCATCTGATAGAGAGAAGCCAGTCTCCTGTATCACGAGTGGGGCACAATCTGCAAGTATACAACTTCACTCAACCGCAGCATTCCCTGGTCAACAGTCAGCACGATGGCAGAACATTGTCTGGTATGGATGGAGATCGTTTGAACCGTGGTACCGAGGACAATGGACTGAAACAGGTTGTGCGATCTCTCGTTGACAGTGACGATGTAGAGTTGATAAAAGAAACTCGTCTGCCCGATGCAAGGAGCGTGGGTCACGAACACATATTGGTCGCTCCTGCAAGGGATGATGGATTGAGTGGTACGACCTGTAGCCCGGCCCCCAGCAGCCCTCAGCACATAGCTAGCCCCGGCTCCGTCTTGCCAGATGCATCGATAAAATCTTCTACGGTCCTTGCAAATGGTAAAACTTGCGCAGCAGATAACCACCAACAGAAAGCGCTCGACTTGGCGCCCTCCTCAACACGTCAGAGCAACTTTTCAATTGACCCTATTGAATCTGGAGAACAGGCTGAGCTGGGAAGTGTGCCTGATTCAGAGAGTCACGTTGAGTTTGCAAGCATCGATCCTTTCTGTCAGACTAGATCAGAGATGGAACTCTGATTTGCTAAGCTTGGGTTCGTGCAAGAATCAACATCATTGTTTTTGAAGTCGAACAATATCGCTGACCATCACTATCACCATACCTTTCTGTAAAACCCTAAAGCATATATTCCTCCCTTGAGCCTCTCCCTAACAATCGTTTGCGAGACTTCTGAGATCAATATTCTTGCATCCTCGATACAGCATGTCAGGTCTTGCGAGGACTCCTCGGTCCACTTAGATGGTTCGTCTTCTTCGGATCCCTCTGTTATGTACTTCTTTGCTTCATATATGTAATAATGCAGTTTGACTGCTGCCTTCTGAATCTCGAGTCCTTGCCTCGGAATCGCTTCCATCATTTCCAGACTCTCTTTTGCCGCATTTATCAGGCGACTGAAGTCAAAGCCTGCAACACATGGATTCGGTCTCTCTTTGATGTGACGCACTATCGACTTCAAGATCCGGACTGCCCCTCTCATCTTCTCTTGTGCTCTGCAGACATTGAGGCTGTCGTCTCTCGAACGAGGATCTCGCACTATGGACGTGAGCAACAGGCGAGCGCCCCTTATCTTCTCTGGTACTCTCCAGACATGAGGACTATCGCCCATCAAACGAGTGCTCCTGGTGGTTCCTAGGTGCAGGTGAGATTTTTCACCACTTGTGAAAATAAAGGTTACTGCGAGACAGTAGATATATATCCATGTAGAAGGTTGTCGATATCACATAAAGCATTACGATCATTCTCTGTGAATCGACATCGGCTGACTCATCCCTTTACGCCCACTAGGACTATGGCATCAGAGAGTCTAGGCAATTGGGAAACTCTCACACATTCAACATGCAACTGTGATTAGGTATTTGGGACGCGGAGAAAGACCCCAGTATATACATCAAGGACGGTCGAGACACCGCGAGCATGAGTGCAGGAGCAATGGGGAAAGGATATGTTATGATATGGGTTTCGAAAATGCAACGCATGTTGATTAAAGTTCAGTATATGTGTGTGTGATGACTACAGATCCAACCAGAACAAGGATTAGATCGTGTATTAGGTGATCGATCCGGAGACTCGTAGCGATCGCTCAACCTCTCTTGCGTTTACGTCCATTGCGAAGAACTACTGGCAGATAGTCGGCTTGGGCTTCTCGTAGCTGCGCGATCGTAAAAGGAGATCCGCTGATTTGCTGCGTCCAAGACGGATGCACGAGCTCGACCTTGAACTGTGTGTCCGTATTGGGGTTCCCTAGCTTGACTTCCGTCGAGATGGAAATGTCAAACATCAAGTCCTTGACCCTGAATTTTACTTCGGGATATCCTTGTTTGAATGCTTTGAATTCATCTTTGCTCAAATGTGTCTTGATCACGCCGGTCTGCTGGTTTTGATCTGTCGCCTCCCTTTTCATCATCTTATAACCTAGCTCAAAATAAAAGAGTGAAGCGACCAGTCGCCTGGCTGCTGCTTTGCACTCGTCAGAGAACGTTCTGGCCGCACTAGAACCTGAGATTAGCATTGATTGGACAGCGTCGTCGAGTGAAGATATTGACGACTGTTCGTCTAACGACACCTCCTCCATGTCTAATCTTGGATTTAGTCGCACCAGGCTTCCGGACCTCTCCGACGTCAGCATTGCTACCATTTC